TATATATATATATATATCATGTGTAATTTGCTTTTTTAAATAGTGCAATTAATAATTTAGAAAAAATTGAAACGAAATACCCAGGACTCAGTCGTATCTAAAACAATTTTATTTAAAATATGTATTTAAAAATATGTATTTTTTTATAAGTAAATAATGATGAAATATTTAATTAACATTTATTATTTTAAATAATTTCTTTTAACCTATCTCTTATTTAATATTTTAAATATGTTTTTGAAATCTTTTTTATATTTTTTATTTTACATGAGTCGTAACAGTTATTTTACCGAAAACCCTGGAAATACCTAGTTTAAAAAAGATATACGTAAATGAGAAAACAAAGGCCCATAACATTATAAACTCTATAAACATTATATATAATATCTATCTATCTATCTATAATAGATTAGTCTGATTTTATTCACTATTGGATATCGGCCTCTTTAAACCTTTTACATTTTATATAGTCTTTGGAAGAAAGGAGTTTGCCATTAAAACGCCATTCTTGTCATGCGTGTTAGCGAATGTACATATATCCATTGAAATACATGTGACCTACAGTTTTTAACGCCAAATCCAAACGGCGATGGCAAAGATACTCTCGAAGGTTTGCTATTGTCTTCCGAAAGGTGGCGATCAAATAAAATCTAATTTGATGTTCTGGGTGAATTTGAAATTTAGATCTTTGGCACAGAAAGCAATCATGCTATACTCTGTGCCACGATCGCCACATAAAGATTAATATACTAATCTATAACTTTATAGATACTACATGTGCTAGATATACATAAATGCAGGTGATATATATTTTTAATGATATATATTTTTTATTATTTTATCTTAAAAAATAAAAAAAATATTAATTATTAAAATGTTTTACTAATATATAAACTTATTTAAAAAATTTTTCATTTAAATTTTTTGATATTTAAATGCTAAAACTTTTATATAAAAAATCCAGGGTAAAAATTTATCGCGTTACTTATAATACCGCTACTACTTTTGTTAGATACTTCTTTTCGGTGACGATCATTTCTTTTTTCTATAACGGTAATGGTAACGTCGGTAACATCTTTACATTTTTACAATAACGGTAATGAATTCGGCCGTTACTTTTATCGTTAATTTAATCTCTTATTATGTTTATAACTATTCAATAGATCGCATTATATATATATATATATATATATATTTGGCTACAAATATTTTATAATAAAAATTTAAATACCGAAAAGTACCGTTCATCTCTTAAGCTGCATTCCGATAGTCATTATCAGTATTGAAAATCTATGGGAGGTATTCATAATTTATTCTTATTTTAAGATCTTAAGTAATGTCTCGAAGTGCTAATACGGCTCTCTGATTGGTTCATGACCTCTTAAAACATTCTTAAACACAAGAACTTAATTTAAATTCATATAAATGAATACTAAGAAATAAAGATATTAGATAATATAAAGAATTTGAAAAATTATTAGGTTTAATATGAAGAAAAATTTGCTCCATATACAGACTAGTTTAGACAGTTTCAAGTCTTAATATTAATTATTATATTTAACATTGATAGCAATCAATTAAATAAATTTATATGTATATTTAAAAAATGCAATTTTAAAACTTATTTAATATTACAAAAAATTAACGAAAAATAACAAATAGTTTTTCAAGTAATACAAATAATTTTTCAAATTATGGTAATAGTAATGCGTTACTTTTTTAAGGTTCTCAACTTTAAAAAAAATTTAAACGTTATTTTCTATGAATCTATTCACATATGTAACAATTTATTAAATGCAAGATTGAAAAAGTTATTTTATAAAAGTAACACGATATCGTTGCAGTTCTTTTTCTGAAAATTAACTTGTGATCGAGAACTCTTTCTTCCCTTTCTCTCTCTCTCTCTCTCTCTCTCTCTCTCTCTCTCTCTGTCTCTGTCCCTCTTTGAAAAGATTAACAGCAAGATAATAAGCATAAAATAATAATGTAAGATTGTAAATTGTATATATTAGTGTTATAAGAAAAAAGAGTTATAAATTTATCAGTGCACTCCTCGCCTTTATGAAGTGAACGGCAAGATTCACAAAACAATGGCATCAGCAATGAATCACGACACGGCGATAATCCGCAAACACCTCTTTGACACCTGAGAAGAAAATACTCGTGAAAGCCTCAATAGTATCAAGTTATAAATTTATCATATAAAATAAAATTTTATTTGTTGATTGCAATGGTCTCACCATTACGCGTATTACGTATAATACTATGATGAATAAAAGGAAATGCAACAGTAATTAATATCCTGCATATAAGTTTTTGACTTCACAAAAGTCAAAAAACGATGCACGTAGTACATACAAGACACTAGAAGATTTACATATTTACGTACGGACTTATTACCTGAGGCGCGCATATGGCTGCTGTACAAGGCATTACAAGCGGGTGCGATGTACCGTTGATCGCCGTGGGCGTCACAGCTCTTCTCTTCTCTCCGCATCGCCAGTTTCTTCTCATCTCGCGCGTCCCGTTCGGAATATAATTCTCGATGGAATCAAAGAATCGGACACGTCATAATGTTCAACCGCACCCAAAATTACAGGGCACACAAATTAAGATTACTTTAAATTATCAAGGTATTGTTGTTGGTAGGTTTTTTTGTTAATTCAATGCTCAAATGATGAATGCTGATGTTTTTAAATACAGAAACAAGTAGAATGATGTAAAAATTTAGAATTTTTTTACATAAAAAACGTTTTTAAACATTTTCTTTTTATAAAGGAGGATGGATAAAATTACTAGATCTTGACCTAAACAATGGAAACTTTCTTATGCATGTTTTCTTATATTTTTTAATGTGCTGAATTATTCACAAACATTTATTTCATTGTTTATAATTTTCAATATTTTCCCATCAGTTTAGCTTGAAATTAATTTGTAAATGATTCAACACATTTAAAAAAAATCTCAAAATTGACTATTTTAGACAACTTAATTTTTTAGTTGTGTTACTTTTGAAATAAGATAACGATATTGGTACTGAATATCATATCGTAAAATAACTCAAACGAGTCAAGATTATAGAAAAAAGAATCCTCGATAAAATCTTCGAAGAAAAAATAAGTTAACGCGTTAAATTTATAAAGCAAATTTCATTATACAGCGCGGTAGCAAACGGTAATGGTGAACGAACAGTGAACAAACGACCGACCGTGAACTTCACGGAGAACGACGTACGTAAAAATGTATGATAAATGGTTTTTTTTTTAAACAGTTCTTTACAAACATAAATTTTGTATATGCTAATGTCGACATTAATAAATGTTTAAAAACTGATTACAAATTATATTGTTTAATATATATAGATAAAATCTAAATTGATCTAA